GGCAGACCATGAGGAATTTTAATAATGCACACAAAGAAATCCTAGCGCAAAAATTAAACACAAAAGATGCATTGTCCCTCCATGTCTTCTACGCACAGAGGCCAAACCAGCCAATTCCTGGTTCACCTTCTTTTCTGTAAGTGGATTAAAAGTAAGATTAACAGACTGTCAAAAGTATGTTAAATGATAGCTTCTGCTAGTTAAAAATTCTGATAGTTCTAAAACTCTGTTGGTGGCCATCTTGGCCTAGGAGCTTTAAAATAAATAAGACTGGTGAAGGCAGGGGATAGGAGAAGGAGTCCTTACGGCCAGAGCGGTACAGGGAGGGGAAGACGTTATTAAAAATCCTTACAGAAAGAAAACACATAATCTGAGCAGGATTTGTGCTTTAATGCATTCATTTTTACGCTAAGAAACAAACATATTAGAAAAATAAAAATTGTGCTTTGCCTATTTTGTGCAGAGAATTTCATTACTCTGTAGGTATTTACTGAAGGAAATACTAATACTTGCAACATTTTTTGATTATTGTATCCACGTCTTGCTTCTGAGCCAGACTGACCCATTTTTGTATACCAGAGTCCCACCTAACAATGAAGCAGCGCAGTACAAATCAGGAGATCTACTCAGGCAGTGCATATATATTGAAATACTGAGATTTTGCCTATCTGGGTAACCCAGCAGTGCAGAAGGGGTCTGAGTTACACTTCAGGAGGACTCACACAAATGAAGAGCAGGTTCAAGCCTGAAGGAAAACATGGGTCACTATGCACTGAAAATAAACTTCCTCTTTATTCTCCAGTGAGGTCATGTGTTGGGTGGAAATATGACTGCTCACAGCAGTGCAGGACCTATCCTTAGTTCCATTGTGCAGTCCAGCAGCAAAGCCACAGGACAACCTATGGGAGTGGAGTGGGTCTGGACCTGAGGTCCCATCCATGGTTTTGGGTAAAGAACACAAATGACTTCCTCCCATGGCGCACTACCGCCACAAAGGGCGGCTCCAGTCCTACTGTCCATCCTGAGCCCCAAGCTGGCAACACTGATGGCAGCCCCCAGGCTTGTGGAAAAGGCCTGTCCCTCCAGAATGAGCTATCATGGGCCCCACGCTGGACCTCTGAGCCTGGGGTGCAGCAGGATTGTTTGGCTCCCCAGCATGCAGATCTATGTAAAATGGGAGCAGCCACTGGACATGCAGTTAGGCCATCAGTTAGTAGATCACAGAGGGATGCTGTTGTATTTACTTAAGAATAAACTGCAAAACTGAACCAAACACATGAAAACTGCAGGGTGCCTTAATCTCACAGGTTTTCCCACTGACTTCTTTTCCTCTTTTTAATTAGAGGGTTATAAAATGGCCTCCACTTGAGTACAAAATGTTCAATAAATGTCCCTACCTTTATAGCTGAAATCTGAAATGTCAGGAGAAAGGGAATGAAAAAGAGACAAGGATTCTGAGGATGAAAAAGCACTGCTATGAGCACCCCCAATAGCTTTAAGATGAAAGGGAATGTGATGGTATGTCCTTTGGAGCACAGACCATATTTCTCTGGGTTTGTGAAACATCTGGCTTTTAGAAAGACAAAGTTGTAAGCTAAGCTTTCCAATAATCTACAACAAAGAGCTTTACAAGACCTTCAAATGCCTTGTCTGTGAAAAAAAACCCAGAGGTATTATTATTTACACTATAGTAAGCTATGTTGAAAACTGTTTATCCTGGGTATGAAAATGAAGTCCTTGTCTTGGTGCTTGAATTGAAAATAACCCCTCTGATAAATGTAAGCAGGATCAAACCTGACCTATTTATTACAAACAGATACCTATATGAAGAGAAGCTTAAAACACACTTTGACAAATGTAATTTCCCCATTATGATATAAGAGAAATACACAGAGAGCAGGCAAAATGAAAATGATTTATAAAAGTTTTAAATCACCATCTTAAAGAGGATATTAAATAGTATTTTAAACCACAGTGGGAACTGGATTGTTCTGCTGACTTTGATTGGTTTTTTTTGCAGAATAATTTTAGTTAACAGAGTTGAACAAGTTTAAAGAAACCAACTTCATCCACTTAGAAAGCTTTGATTATCACAGAGCCTTTACATTTAAGCTTCATTGAATGCAATATGATAATTTTTTTTCTACCAAAAGGCAAATTAAAATATTCAGCTTATAATCCTTCTGGCCACTTCAACTGCTCATAAGATTTCTTGCACTGGCAGTCTATTTTGGTTGGAGTAAGACATTTCTGCCCATACAACATATTATTTGTAATGTGCCAAAATTTGTCACCACAACTAATGTAAACAAAACCCTACCACCATCCATAACAGCAGAATGGATTTATCATTTAGTCATTGTTCTAGTCGATTCACGTTTCTGTGCAGGGGCTTCAGTATGTCAATAGATGGCAGTCCATCTCTTCGTAAAGAGCCAGATAATGAATAAAACCACCAAAAGCTTCACAAAAGAGAAAGGTGGAAGGCTGTGGGTTTTTTCATGAGAATTCACAGTAATTAACTAAGAATACTTTATATAATGCAAAACATTTAGACAAACTTTGTAACGGCCATTTGTAAGCAACATTATAATAATGGTATTCTATTACAAACCTGAATGCCTTTTTTTATTTGCACTTACATGTACCTGTGTGTGACATTCATGATCAATTTACCAACATAAATTTAAATCTAATGGCTGCATCCATGGATAAAGCATAGGAAAAAAATTTCTGTAGCCTTGGTCTGTTTGCTAATAATCCACAGCAGAGCATCAACCATAATAGTACTCCTTTTTTAAACTTCTATTATTTTTCTTTAACTACTCTCATGTTTGTAGAGAAATATTTATTCTAAACTAGGAAAATTAGAAACTGATTTCTGTAGTGAAAGACCATTCCACAAATATGAGAGTAAAAGGTCTTGACTTTCTAGTTACAATTCTATAAGTATATATATATATATAATATATATTATTCTAACAGATTTTTCGCTTTTTGTGAGAACACCACTTTGTTTTCCTTTGAGTGCAAAAGAGAATACTTAAATGGAATAATAAAATCTGGGACTCCGATACTTAAGCAATTCAGATAATGCAGTTTCACAAGGAATAACTTATTTTAAATATCAAGCATGTGTTTCACAATAGAATTTTTTTAATTCCAGGCTTAATTTGATTACTAATGTAACTTCAGGTCAAAGCAAGTCTTCCCTTTCAAAAAAGGGATGCGGATTATTTGCAGATAATTTGCAGTTTCACTAAAAAATCATTTACCAGAAGCTACAGTCTGACTCTGCCAAATTATCTTTGAGTACCCATATTTGACCACATTTCAAAATGTCCCCAAAATGCACTAACGATTTCCAAATAGATACTTTCAATAATACACTTGTATCTGTAACTACTACATTTTCTGACAAAGGTTGAGGTTGTTCTAACAAATGTTGTTAGCTTCATACTAATTAAAGTGTAAACTCTGAGTGCTTTACACAAAATTCACAGATAAGTTTTCTACCTCAGATACCTCAAATTCTGCCCTAGTAAACACTTGGTCAGGTTTAAGCTCCCTTAGAAAATTAATATTTTATAAAAGTTTGCAACGCATTTTTCAAGGAATTTTCAATCGCAAGAAAGACTAAAATTCAATTAAATTATACCTCAGCAAAAACCAGAACCCAACATATTACTGCATCTAATATATTATCGTTAAGATTCCAAATGTCATAAAGATTCCAGAAATCACTTTTACATGCCCCCCTCAGGATTACAATCGAAGACAGTACTTACCTTTTTGAGTCATGTAATTTTGAAAAAAGCAAACAAAAATACTCACTGAATACTCACTTTTGATCATAAGGGTTCTGGTTTTTTTTTATTTATTTTTTGTAAAGTCTGTACCAATTCTGCTTAAAATAAAAGCAAATGCTCAGCAAGGATAGAGGATTTCCAAAGCAGATTTTTGTTTTAAAATCATTATGCAGAAAATGCAAGAAGTGGTTTTAAGCCCAGATTTCTGCTATTCATTGAATTTAGAAAGAAAAACAGAAAAAAAGAGCATTCCACTACCATGAAGACATGAAGGCAATAAATTATAAAACACATTCCATTTATTGCTCAAAAGAAAAAGCCCTCACCAAAGACCCACAAAGAAAACTGGTGGACAAACTTATCTACCCTGTTTTGAACTGGCAGAAGCAATTAATTATCTATAAAAGCTCCATACATATGAGGTTGATAAGGACAGCAATGACAGCAAAGATTCAGCTAACAGCAAAAACCCCTAATCTTTAGAGGTGTTTTCATGTATGATAATTTTATAAATTAATATATTCAAGATTTGTGATACTGATCCATAGAATATTGTCTTAACCAGTTAAATATTGTTTTATGTTTCAATTTTTGCCAAATTTATACATAATTTGTTTTATTTTTATCTCTGTTCTATATATGAGGATAAGCATTAAGTTATACACTGGTACAGTTCACAAAGTTTTATTATCTTGTTTCAGTGATTAAAGACCAACTAATGCAGGCCAAAGAAGTCACAGCTCTATCCTTACCAATTAGCAATTACCTGCAAAAGTTCATAAAACATATTTGCTGAAATTAACATTGCAACTCTAGCTGAGATTTATTTTACTCATTTAAAAAGAAAGCTCTGTCACACACAGTAATTACCAGCATCTGAGATGGGATTATTGCTTCTGCTATGCATCCAAACTTAAAATTTAACCCCTTTTATATGTGTAAATGTAGTCACCAAGAAGGGAGAGTGCTGCAAGGCACTCATTTAATGATTACAGTATTAAAACAAATTCATAAGTCCTAAATATGTTTAAAAAATAGTGACAGTGTTTCACTATATTCTTCAGTTCAAAAACTCTTCAGATGTTTATTATCTTCTCACAGAAGATGCTTGTCTATATTTTATGGTCAGCAGTTCACAGAAGAGTAAATAGGCTGGGTGTAGAAGAAAATAAAAAAGGTGTTTCTACTTACTGTTAGGTGATACTGCCTCCATATTTCTGGGCAAGCCTGGAAAATAAAAATATTGATCAGCTAGGAGCATGAAACAAGGTGCTTTACAGCCTGTTGGTTTTGGCATAACACAGTATCCACTGGTGTCGGTCACAGGAAAATAAGAAGCTTAACTGAAAGGGTCTGCATTTCAGCTTCAAAAACCTGGCTAGACAGTTTAATTGAATTTTACACTGGTTTAACACACTCCCTGCCATTGTCAGAAAGCCAGTAACAGTTTTCTCTCTCCCCTTCTTCCCTTAAGGTTAGAAGTTTGGGAGAGTAGAGTGCTCTTAGCTGTAACAATACAGCAAAACAAACAGAAATTAATTTAAATTCTACATTTTCTGACATTTTAAATTTACATAATGTTTTGGAAATTAACTCTCAAGATACCTTCCTTTCATGCAGGAATGTAAATATTTTAGTATTTTTGTACATATCTCTATCTTAATCAAAATATAATTGTTACATGCAATAATCCTCAGTAGCCTAATGTCAGATGAGTTGTAAACAAGAAGCATAACAGATCTCTTTAATGTTTCTATTTTTACAATGGCTTGCTTGATTTTTTTTTTTTTTTTTAACTTGCCAGACTCGCACACAAACTTGTAAGTGCAGCCCCTTGTAAAAAAAATTTGCAGAGCAGATTTTTGCATCACAGCAATAACACAGTAGACCTGAGGAATACATAAGAGACAGGAAATAGGAAAATGTGGATCTTCTTCTTTAAACAAAATCAAAATGTGTTAACGATCAATGAGACAGAGGTTAATTTCTCGAGGGCTCTTAATATTTTAATAAAACTTACAGTATTCTGCCTTTTGCTATGACCCCAAGCCATAAAAAGACATAGAAATAGTGATACTTTGTTAGCCATTTCAGTGTTTAACTGAGTGTGCATTCCGTAACTTCAATGGAAGTCTTTCACTTTTGTTTAAAAGATTTACGCTTTTATTAAAGTATCTCCTTAATAATTTGAACAATTAGCAATTTTGTTTGCCACTTTCAATTTTCAGTATTTTAAGAAGAAATATTAGTTATTCTGTGGCATCTACATAATACACCGTAGCTCCAATTTCAAATACTGAAGCCTCATGACTACTTGCAAATAAGCACTATTAACATTTCTTTAGATTTCAAGTAAATTTTTCTCTCAAGCCTAAATTCTTGCCTTCTTTTCTTCTGACAGAGCATATTAATTAATAAACCCCCTCCTAACAACTGATACTAGCAACTGAGCCCCTCAAAAAATAATGCAAGTTTTTGACAGTCATCCTATGGCATATACAGTATGTTTTTCCCGGATGTGATGGAAATTATATTATTTATTATTCATCCTGTCAGTAACACAATTTTCTGGAGAAAAATCTATAATCTGTTCTGAGTAATGATTCGATATTTTTCCTCTTACTTAAATACTGCATGTAAATATTTGAGTTTTATATTAATGTTTCTATAAAGAAAATGTGTGAAGTACACCAGATTTCTAACAGAGGAGCAGAGTACAACATTTGACAGTTTGAACACACTCGAGCTGTCTCTGAGTGCAAACAAAAGGATTTTCCTCCTTCTCTAGCTTACACAGGATTCGGAGGTGTGAATCATAAACACACTCTAGCGTATAAAAATATTGTATCAAAGACCTTGCCTTCTCTCTCAAACCTGTAAAAGGCTTCAGTCATGAGACCTTCTCTGGCCTAGCACAGGGGTAGCAGGCAGTTATTTCTACATTAGTTCTGGATAGTTTTCGATTATCACAGTGTCCCCAGACTAATATGGTTGAAAAATCACAATCAGTGAGTTGTCACATACTGGCAAAATGCCACTCTGTGATATGACCTTTACTCACACAGTAGCTTAATAATAATAATAATAATACTTTATTTTTTAATAATAGCTTGGTTAGGTTTTGTTGGGTTTTTTTTCCTCTGTTTTTTTTTTTTTTAACACAAAGACATCTGGCAAAAATCTGTAACTCAGAGTAGGAAACTGCAGTTGGCACCGCTCTTACCAAAACACTGGAAGAGGCACAGTCCAAACCCCTCAGCAGTGCTATTAAAAAGTAGGTTTTATCGTCACCATCTTTAAGGATGTTCTAAGGCTGTGGGAGAACTTAAGGGAGGTAGGAAGAAGGTAGTAGGGGAAAACTGGCCAAGTATATTTCTTCATTCAGATGGCGATTTGGTGTAATACTTTTCGTCATCGCAATAATCACTTACAAACTTCAGAAGTTGAACAGAATAGTTGAAGAAGGATGCCTGGCTAAACAACAGCTTTTTAGAAAAGATGCTTTTAACTAGGAGTTTTATTACCTTGGATCAGCTCAGAGTTATTGTCTGTATCGTCTATCACAGAATGACAAAAAGTATAATTAACAATTACTACTGAATACTGGCTTCTCAAATGAAGCAAGGAATTTTGCTATGGAAGACACCATAACCAAATCTAACAACCACACAACCTGTGATTTTTCTTATTTATTTAAAAGTACTTAAACCATGAATGGCCCTCATTTAAAGAAAAGCCCTTGCGGTATACAACTGTGATGGCAGTGTGATGAACTACATTAAAATAAAATTGCATTTATTTCCTGCCCCAGTAGTCTGACCTTACTAGCTTTCAGATGTACCAGCACAAAGGGTGCCTACTTTCAAAAGCGATGTAGAACGCACAGCAGAGGTGCTTCCCTGCACCTTTCCCTACATCCACGTGCCTTTTGCTGTACAAGTGCCGCTGGACAATTAATTTTCCCAAATCCATGCTGTTCTTTGCTGCAGCCAGCATTTGGTTAATTTGGAGGGTGATTATTCATGTACGAGCCTGATCCGGCTAAGGTTGCCACACCAGATGAATCATGGCTGGTTACTGTGCATTTTGACCCATACTGAATTTTATCAGGTGCTAATTATTGTTTTACCAGAACAACGGCTTAATGCATCTGTTAATTCCCACTTCCCTATTCTCAAACGTGAACATCAAAGAAAATAAAACACTCAATCTCAAACAGCCCCTGACAGCAGACCAGGACTCGAGTGCTCAATAGACAAGGCCCTTGCCACCAGTTCTCATATTTCCACAACAATGAGCAAACACAAAACCAGCACTAAGCGGCCTTTCCTCCTTTCCGCTCCCCTTGGCCGGTCGTCTGCCTTGCGCCGAGAGGGCCCTCGATGGCAGCCCTGCTGGGACCGCAGCGCAGGGGAGAGGATTAGCCTCGCTAACATGTGAGCATTTGCAAAAGGAAAGGAAAAACCCCACTACTGTATTTGGCGTATGAATAACCAAAATGCACGCGCTGACAGGAGACCGGGATGGGCCTGCTGCTCCCCGGGAGAAAATGTAGCTGTGATGAGTGACAGGGCTTTCAGGAAATATGTTCACAATCACAGACAGTGAAGGCCATGACCTAGATCGTTTAAGAGCTTGTCTTGTCAAATTATCAAAAGCTTCTTCGTCTCTGAATAAAGAGTGACATAAGTGAGTGTCAGAAAGCTGCAGGCTGACAAGCCAAGCATACAATAACAGCATGCACGTCACATACTTGCCGAACACCGCCACGGCTAGCGGCAAATCTTAATGAGAGCGCGGCTGGCCCAGGAGACTTGGGTCCCTGCTGGCACAGCTACTCATCTCGCAAAAATCCTTCAGCTCCAAGTCAGTTATGGTCTGACACGACGACTACAATTACTAAACACAACTTTTTAACAGAATCCTCTGGTGCTTTGTCAAAGCGGCGGCTGCTAGGAGCTGCCCTGCCGCAAGCCACCACAATAAGACAAAAGATTTGCCAAAACACACACTTTTCATCACCTCCGCATGGGAACTGCCACGGAAAACACACAATGCTTCTCTTCAAAACCTCTCCCGCACGAGCAGATGTCGAGACCTCTCCCCTGCCGCCAGCGCAGACGGCCACCGCTGCTGGTGTGGCGTGGGCTCGGGTGGTTAACTGCCAGCACCATCCAGGCCTCTGGAAAAGTTTACTTATGCTTACCATTAGGTGGACATAGACTTGCCAGAAGTGCGAAAAATGGGGGATGCTTCTGGGGAACGGGGGAAGAAGGGCAAACCCTTTCTTTTCTGCCCAGGTGAGGCCCAAGCACCTCTGGTACTGCCAGTGGGAATGGGCCACATTGGCTACAAGGCCACCAGCCAGCCCTGTGGGCTCGTCCCTGCACCTCCATCCTTGTTCTGACCTGCAGAGGTGGCCACGTCCCCACAGCAAACCCCAGCATGGGTTCTGAAATGACACAAGCAGAAGGAAACCTGGGAGAGAAGAGGCTAAGGGTGGTTTACATGACCAGAAAAGGTGTCAGGACACATGGAGACAATGGCAGCAAAGGTACCTGGCTGGTTCCTGGGAAGGAGTGTTTGGTGCTTCCCAGGGTGTGGGTGTGTGCAGACATGCATGCCTCTTCACACGAATGGGGCAGCAGGCATGGCACAGCTAAGGGGCGCCAGGGACCTGGGCACTGCTGGCTGCCAGATCCTGGACAAGCTCAGGCAGCTTACTGAGCACTCACGTAGTTTTTTGCCTCCTCCCTGCCACCACCCTGTTTATGAAGTTCTAACCCTAACCCCCTTGCAGCTGGCAGATGAGACTGTAAACCACATCCCACCTCACTGCCACCAAACCCACAAAACACAGGACGTTAACAGCATGGGGCTTTCAGCCTATACATACATAAGCATAAGTAAATATGTATGTCACACACACACAAGTATTCATACACATGTATATCTGTACACAATGTCTCTCCTAGTACAGACAAAACTTGCACTTGAAACTTCCCAACAACTCTGCTACCTGCTCTGTGCTCTTATTCCTGAGGAAAACACATGAGGTTAAGCTACTTCAAACATGACTCCATCTAAAATGACTTCATACATTTTCAGGGCTGTCTCAGGGAAAGAGACTGATTTAATGGATAACAAGTGCACTGCCCTGAAAATATTTTAAATAACTTTGAACCAGGTGAAGTCCCTTGAGCTGCCTCATGTTCACTTCTGAACAA